CTGCACCCTAGGCTGCCGGGTCTATGCCCTGGGCTGGGTCTGGGTCCTGCCCTCCTGCTTCCCCTGGTTAAAGGGCAACCCGTGTTTTCCTCTGTCCTCTCACGCTCAGCACAGGGCATCCTGTGACAAGAAGCGTGGTATCTCCCCACACACCGAGCAGGTCTCAGCGACACCAGCTGGGTGTCCTGTAATCCGCTTCAGTTTGACACAACTTACCTGAAAATGGTGTCAGATCCTGCAGATCGAGGGCTCAGATCCCGCGGACTGCTCCCACTTTGGGTGCCAGTGCGTAGTAGGTTGTCACCTGTGCTTCTTACAGACTGGATACCAACCAGGGTTTCCTCGATACGCCTGTTAGGTTTGGTTAATTTGCTAGGATGCCTCACAGAACTCAGAGACACCTTACTTACCTTTCCTTGTTTATTATGGAGGGCATCACAAAGGATTGGATTAACATGCAGAGGATGAGAAGGTGTGGGGGGTATTTGGGGCTTCCATGCTCTCTCAGGATAGCACCCTCCCAATACCTCCTGTATTCAGCAGCAGGAAGACCAAATTTTTTGTTGAGGAGTTTTTACAGAATCCCTTTAGTGCTCCTGTCATTGAAACCACAAGGGGATTTCTGCGTAGGTCAGGTGCTCGTTACACAAAGATCCAATTATTGACACAATGGAGACGCCAAGAAAAAATATGAAAACATTCTTGTTGGAGACAGGAAAGACTGCTTGAAAAGAAAAGGAGGAGCCACATACTTGGGGCAGGTCGAGCAGGATGACAAGTCTTGGCATAGGGACGCCTTGGGAAGCTTAACTCCTCATGCACTGCTCTTGGCACAAAAGCAAACCTTGGCTGGCGCGGTGGCTCACGCCTATAATCCTAGGATCGCTCGAGGTCAGGAGTTCGAGACCAAGCCTGAGCAAGAGCGAGACCCCGTCTCTACTATAAATAGGAAGAAATAATTGCCCAATATTATATTTAGAAAAAATTAGCTGAGCATGGTGGCACATGCCTGTAGTCCCAGCTACTCGGGAGGCTAGGGCAGGAGATCGCTTGAGCCAGGAGTTTGAGGTTGCTGTGAGCTAGGCTGACGCCACGGCACTCACTCTAGCCGGGACAACAGAGTGAGACTCTGTCTCAAAAAACAAAACAAAACAAACAAAAAAACCAAAAGCAAACCCTTGTGCAGGCCTCTTCAGCCTCCAGAAGATGTCTCCAACCAAGCACGTGAGTACACACCCCTTTTGGAAGACATGACAGGGCAGATATGTAGATGGCTCTTATGGGAGGAGAGGGTGACCCTGGAGCCTGCTCTCGTCCCAAGTGTACTAACCATCTAGCTAGAATTCCCTAGGAATAGTAGATATCCCATCACTGCCTTCGCATAGTCACAGATAAAGTGTGACAAACAATCTAGCAGAGCATTCTGGTCTGTGCATACTATTCCATTTTCTAATCCATTCCTTTTTTTTTTTTTGAGACAGAGTCTCACTTTGTTGCCCAGGCTAGAGTGAGTGCCGTGGCGTCAGCCCGCTACACAGCAACCTCAAACTCCTGGGCTCAAGAATCCTCCTGCCTCAGCTCCCGAGTAGCTGGACTACCAGGCATGCGCCACCATGATGCCCGGCTATTTTTATATATTTTTAGTTGGTCAATTAAGTTCTTTCTATTTTTAGTAGAGATGGTGGTCTCGCTCAGGCTGTTTCGAACTCCTGACGTGAGTGATCCACCCGCCTCGGCCTCCCAGAGTGCTAGGGTTACAGGCGTGAGCCACCACACATTCTTTTTCACTTAACAAAATAACACTGTTTTGTGCCCACTGAGTTGATTCTCCATGCTACTAAAAAGTCCCAATCTGTGTCCCGGAAAACTCTGCGGGCGCAGCGGGCAGGCGGGGCGGAGAAGTGGCGGCGGTGCCGGGAGGGGGGAAGGAGGCCCCAGCACCTCGGCGCTCGGGTGCGGTCGCTGCTGCGGCAGCTCTCCTGCTCTGCTGTCCAGGGTCAAGCTTGCGTCCACCTCTCCCCAGGAAGGCACGCCTGACCGTCACACACGAGGTGACCGCGTCCACCCCCCTAGGGCCGGTCACGGTGCCGTGGCTCAGGATGGAGTCCAGCCTCCTCTCCTGCCCTGCCAGGTGACCCGCCTGCTGCCCCTCCTGCCCTGCCCTCTGCTCCTGGGGACCCCGCCTTTGCTGAAAATCACCGTTTCCTTCCACCTCGAGCCCTCCACCAGCGTCCTCGTCCCTGACTCCCAGGCTGCGGCGGGGGTCCTCGGCCTCCCCACCTGGGCCCCCATCCCAGCGCTGGCGCTCTGAGTATTCGCATTCTGAGGCGGTTTGTGCCCCTCACTGCTGCGAAGGGGCCTGCCGCATGTCACCGCTGTGTCCTTAGCTCACCTCATCGCAGGCAACAGGGCTCACAGGTGTCCTCACGAATGCTTATTGCCAGGCCTTTAACGTGCTCTTACTATCTCACAACGGGATCAGGTGAGCCAGCCTGTCTCCATTTCCAGGCAGGGAAAACTGAGGCTCAGAGAGGCAAAGTTGCCTCCCCAGAGTCACTCAACAGTTATATGGCAGAGTCTGCCATGAACAGGCCCAGGAAGAGCGGTGCCTCTGCTCTTGGCTCTACAGGGTGGTCAGGTGTGAGGCAGGGAGTGTGGCGAGATGCAGGAGAGACAAATGGCATCCCCTGTGCGTGGGGCAGGGAGTGAGAAGCTCCTCCCGCTGGCAGGACACACAGGAGTGGTACCGATTTGTGTAATCTCTCGGGGTGGGGACCCCAGCGAGTGGGGACCAGCGCCAACTTCCCATCCACCTCCCAGAGCTGCAGAGGTGACCACACCCTTGCCCCTGTGTGGGTGACAACAGAGATTGCACCATCAGCAGCCTCACAGCTGACCCAGGTCTGTAACTGAATCCTCCACTCAAGATGGGCCTGAACACAGAGTGATTCCCATGTCACAGCAGGGCCACCTGCAGCTCTGGTTCTGATCTGGAAGGTCATTTGGAGCCTGAGCTTTGTGCCTGGGCTGGAGACGGGGTCTGGGCAGCGGGCGTCCCAGGCTCCATGGGGCAGCAGAGACGTGGGCGGCGGCGACTGTGCAAAGGCAGACGGGCTGTACAGGCGCCACTGCCTACAAGGTGACTGGTCACCTCTCCTGGCCCCAGACAGAACGGCCGCTCCATGCCAGGCGGGGCCTGTGTGCTCTGGGCCGACAGATTCCTGCAGGAGCTGGGACCACTTCCCTCCCCAGTCCTCACTCACACTGTGACCTGGGCCCACAGGATTGTCCCCAAATGGCTCTTCTCCTTCTGTCCCCACACTCTGAGCCCCAGCCTGTTCTTGGGGAAAACCCTATAGCTACCCCTCTCAAGAAGCACGTTAGGATGGCCGGGCGCGGTGGCTCATACCTGTAATCCTAGCACTCTGGGGGCCCGAGGCAGGAGGATCGCTTGAGGTCAGGAGTTCGAGACCAGCCTGAGCGAGAGCAAGACTCCATCTTTACTATAAATAGAAAGAAATTAATTGGCCAACTAAAATATTTAGAAAAAATTAGCCAGGCATGGTGGCGCATGCCTGTAGTCTCAGCTACTCGGGAGGCTGAGGCAGGAGGATCGCTTGAGCCCAGGAGTTTGAGGTTGCTGTGAGCTAGGCTGACGTGACGGCATTCTAGCCCAGGCAACAGAGTGAGACTCTTTCTCAAAATAAAACAAAAAAGAAGCACGTTAGGCAAAAAGCCTGTGAGCGTCTCAGGCTGGTTGTGGAACTTCTCCCTGAGACCTTCTCGGACATGTACTGACAGGGACATTGGGCTCAGTGACCACAACTAAGGTGTTTTCCTTTCCCATTCTCCTCTCTCTCTCTGTCTCCTTCCCACCCTCCGTGTCCGACCTTCATGAAGACACTGACCTTGACTATCCTACTCAGCACGACGTCACCAGTGTCTGGGGTGAGGCCTGGGCGTCCGAGGTCCCACGGGGACTTGTGCTCCTGACGTAAGTGCCACAAGTGAGGAGACTCAGGGACGACGAGGGCCCCGGGGCGCCTGAGCTGCGCCCTTTCCCACCTTTCCAGAAATGCGACACTGAGCTGAGCGAGGTCCACGGTGTCCCCCACCTGAGCGCCAGGACCGCAGGGGGTGAGCAGTGACCACGTCTGGGCCTGGGCTGGGGACGTGAGGTCGGGAGCGCAGGGGACCTGGGAGGATGCGCCACGCGTGTGGTCAGGCTGAGGACCCAGGGGGTGTGACGGGAAAGCGGTTTACTGTCTCAGTGGGGATGGTGACGACCCCAAGGAGCGTCCTGCACCCCCCTGCTTGCCACGGAGGCCTCGGTGCCGGGCTGAGAGGGAGGCACTTGGGGAGAGAAGGTGGAGGGGACAGCGGCCTCTCCTGGCCCTCTAAGGCTCTGAATGCTTCTTTTTTTTAATTTTTTAAATTTTATATATATTTTTTCTTTTATTATTGCCCTTTAGAAATGGACATCAACCAAATCTGAATGCTTCTGGAGAGGCATGGGTGTGGTCTTTCCTTCTAAGATATTCTGCATGACCCACCCTGCCTGTCACCCGTTCTTGCTCAAGTGAGATCCAGTGATAGCACCCACTGCCCTGCTGTATATAAACCGTCTGCTCACACCCATGTGCTCCACTGCGGACACCCAGGGCCATTGCTCCCCGACGCCACGTCTGCTCGCAGCCATCTGCTCCTCTGTGGGTTCCTACAACCATGTCTCCCCGAAGCTGCTTCCTGGGTAAGGAGGACACAGCCCCAGTCCTGAGCCCGGTCCCATCTCAGCCACCACCCTGCCCCGACCCACACCTCATCCCTGTCCCCAAGCCTTGTCTGCTCCCATATGTGACTCCCTCATGGCAATTCCTGCTCCACATCCCCATACAGCCCCATCCACCTCCCTGTTCCGTCCCCAAACTCATGCCAGATGCCCCCTAGGGTCCCACTCCCACCCTGTCTTCTTCTCAACTCTGGGGCGCGTCACCCCCGCCATGCACTGGCAGACTCAGCTCAGCCCTTCGCTGCCTGACCCCGGCTGAGCCCCAGCTCTGACCCCCCACCCGCCCGGGAAACAGCCACAAGCTCCTGAGCCCTGAGCCCGTTCCTCCCAGGAGTCCCGCCCCGCCCGGCCCTGCACAGGAGCCCTGAGCACAGGGCGCTGGGCCCCACCCGAGTCTGCTCCTAGCCTTTCCCTGGGCTCAGTCGGGACAGAGGCCCCCTCGGACCCTCCCCTGCCCCAGGCTGGGCTCCCAAGTCCAGTGCCAGCTGCACCGCCACCGCCTGCCTGCTCTTCTCCCACAGGGGTCCTGGCCGTTCTCTGCGTTCTCACATGTCTCTACTCACACGGACACCCAGGTGAGCCCAGGAGGGACAGGGATGCTCAGAGCGGGGTGCGGCTCCCAGAGAACCCAGGTGGGACCTCCTGTCGTCTTGCTAGGGCCTCACCAACTGTGTCTCCTCTAGTGGCCCCCGGGGACACTCACCTGATGCTGTGCCAGCCCCACACCAGATGTGGGGACAAGTTCTATGACCCCCTGCAGTACTGTTGCTATGACGACGCTGTGGTGCCCTTGGGCAGGAGCCGACGGTGTGGCAACTGCACCTTCAGAGTCTGCTTCGAGCAGTGCTGCCCCTGGTCACCGGGACCCCGGAAGTCTTTCCTGGTGAAACTGAGAAGCCAGAAGTGCTCCTCGGCCCAAACCTCGGATGACAGAGTTTGTGACAGGTGAGGTCCCGTTCCCGCCAGGGATGAGGGTGGAGGGAGGACCCTGGGGTCTCCTGAGACCTGGGGTGTGCGGGGTGTGTATGGGGACAGGCAAGACTCAGACTCAATTTCCCACGTCATTCTGTGACCTCTGTGACCCTCAGCCTGCGTCTGCCGTGATCTGATCCGCTGGGTGTGAACAAGGCAGAAAAACTGAAGTTCAGAAAGGCAAAGTCACCTCCCCAGAGACACCCAACGGTTATATGACAGAGGCCCCAGAAGGCAAGCTCCACTTCACCTCGGGCCCCTCAGGACGCGGCACCCCCAGAACACCAGCATGTCCCTGTGGGCTGGGACAGAGGGGAGGGGGTGGCTGTGTTTTCTGAGGCTTGTCAAGAAGGACCTCCTTCTAGGCATCCTAGAGACTCTTTTATTTTTTTTTTTTTTGAGACAGACTCTCACTTTGTTGTCCAGGCTAGAGTGAGTGCCGTGGCATCAGCCTCGCTCACAGCAACCTCAATCTCCTGGGCTCAAGCGGTCCTCCTGCCTCAGCCTCCCAAGTAGCTGGTACTACAGGCATGCGCCACCATGCCCGGCTAATTTTTTCTATATATATTTTTAGTTGGTCAATTAATTTCTTTCTAATTTTGGTAGAGACGGGGTCTCGCTCAGGCTGGTTTCGAACTCCTGACCTTGAGCAATCCGCCCACCTTGGCCTCCCAAAGTGCTAGGATTACAGGGGTGAGCCACCGCGCCTGGCCTCCTAGAGACTCTTTACTTGCCAAATTTAACATAAAATTGATTTAAGAAATAAAATGAATACAGGGAAAATCATACTCACGTCCAGCACCATTTTCAAAGCCCACAGTGAACCGCTACCACAAGGCCCTGGGCCAGGCAGGGAAGGGGCAGGACCGCGACAGGAAGGAGAGGGGAAGGGGCCTGTCGAGGACGGGGAGGCAGGTTGGACCCCAGCCCCAGCCATTCCACACTGCAGTGCTCCTCCCAGCAAGGGCTGTGAATCAGGTCTGGCCTGACCTGGGCTGAGGAGATGATCATTAAGTGGGGTGTGGATGGCTAGTTGGGAAAGTGGAGTAGGTGGGACGGGTCCGTCCTGCTGCGGTGGAGGGCTTACACTGGGAGAAGGCTCAGGGGTGTATCCCTCAATGTGTCCTGCACTTCATTCAAACTTTGCAACCGGTTCTCAGTCTCAGACCCTGTAGGGGCCAGACCAGGCAAGAGCCACGGGGTTAGGGACAGTGTGTTCTATTCCGTTCTATCTCCAAAGCATCTTTCCGGAGAGCTGCAGCGTCACAGAGTTGAGGGCTTTGTGACGTTGTGCTGGAGAGCAGGAATGAGCCAGCAGCTTCTCACATTGTCACTTTGTCATACATCGAGGGTGACAATTTCCTACATGCTCTCTCTCCCCACCCATCATTTGATCACTGTCTTTGAGATTAAAAATGTGAGATTTTGACATATTTTGGCTAAAAGGGTCTGTTTGTTTTTCTTTGGCAATCTAATTTAACATTTTATTTGTAATCGTTGAATTTTTTTTCTTACCTTCTTTTCATCTGGGCATAGCTGGTGTTTTTCATTACTTTATCAACATCAGAAGTGCTCTTTTAAAATTTAAGTAGCGTGGAAATGAATAAAATGAAAAGCACAACTTTTTCGCATTCTGAGCCCTTGTGTTCCTCCTCTATGCAATTCACTATCTATGCTTTCTGGAGTGGCCTTCCAGAAGGTTCTGTGCCTGGAAGAGTAAAGGATGAGCTTGCTAACAAACTATCTAAAAGAGAGAAAACTAAACCAACAGAGGAAAAAAGGGAGAAAACTCTCACAGCACAACTTGGCCTTTGTTTGCTTAACCACCTGTGGCTTCACTCCTTGTCTTTAACATTAATCACCTGTGGCTTAAATTATTTTGTTTGAAAGTTAGTTTTAACAGCCTTGAAGAGCCAAGAGCAGACAGCAGGGGTGCAAACTCTCTGAGGCTCCTACTCTCACCGGACTGACAGGCCAGCCTCCGAAGGAAGAGGGAGAAAAAAATGGAAAAACAGGCCAAAGAAACAGCCGCCCTTTGCAATTAGCTGGGAGCAATCGCTTTTCTCTTTTTCCCTTTTTTTCACATAGAACCAGCCCTAACTGGCCACGTGTGAAGCTCTGGCATAGCGGGGAGGCGGGGGGGGGGGGCAGGCGCAAGATACGAATATTTGTACCCACATAATATGAGATAAAAACAGGAACCAGCCATAATATATTTTACAATGTTTGGTAAGACATTCATCAGGGGACCTCTATGTATTATTTTATATGGAAGGGGCAGTAAATATTGCCCCTTTTTACTTCTGAATTTACAATGTGAACTTTAAAAGAAAGAACCTGCTATATTTGCATACATGTTCCACACCAATGTCCAAAGTAATTTCATTATGAAGTCAAGTGAAAGGTATTGGGAGGCTCAAAAGCGACTTAAATTATGAGAATTTGGACGCATATTGAGAGCCAGGATAGACACAGTCTGTCTCCTTCATCAACTTGCCGTGGGCACCTCCATCCCCAGAGAACTGGAACCTCACTCCCAACGCCGTGCACTGGCCATTTCGCCACCTCCCCAAGGTGACTCCACACTAGTGTTGTCCATATGTGTGTACATGGGGACCTGGGCATGCACTGGCCAAGGCTGCTTCAAGTCCCTGGTTTGGAGTTTACACACAACCCGCATTATTGGGAAAGTCACGCCTACAATGTACCACTGGTGACAGAGGGGGTGTACCACCCCATCTTGGGAATGATGGACAAGCTCTCCTCACCCAACTAGAGGCCATATTCTTTTTGTTTTTAGAGACTTGGTCTTGCTCTGTCTCCCAAAGTTGGAGTGCAATGGCTTGTCTTGGGGTCCAATCTGCCAACCAGACCCGGGACAAGTCCCCTTCCCCTCTCCTTCCCATCATGGTCCTGCCTATTCCCTTACTTGGCCCAGGGCTTTGTGGTATCTATTTATTTTGGGCTTTTAAAATTAAATGAAAATGAGTATGATTTTCTCTTGTTGATTTTATTTGTCAACCAATTTTATGTCAAATTTGGCAAGTTAAGAATCTCTAGGATACCTACAATGAGGTCTTTCTTGACAAGCCTCAGAAAACACATCTAACCCCTCCCCTAACTCCGTTCCAGCCCGCAGGGAAATGCTCTCGCTCTCTGGGTGGTACATCCGGATTTGAAATGAAGCTTGGGGTGGGGCCTGGACCCTTTCCCATCTTGTCTATTGCCAGGCCCCGCCCTGCAGCGGACTCAGAGGGCCCCTGGATAGTCAGGCTCTTCTTCTGAGGGAGAGGGTCTGAGTCTCCCCATGTCTTCTCTAAATATGTTTCTCAGCTTTGCACAGCGGCAGTATTGTAGCCAATGGGGTTTATCTGAGACATGATTATTGCTCATTGAAATTTAGAAAAAAAGTCTCTCCCCTTTGTGGGATAAATCCAGATCCATGATTTTCCAGAACCCCTTAAGCCTTATGCCTTTATGATCTCTTTAAAACCAAACCTCCTTAGGAGGCAAATAAGGCCCAATTTTGTGAGTGCCACAGCCCCTCCCACACGACTACTTACTGTATGGTGAGGCCAAGCGGGCTTGGAAGGGGCAGGGCAGTCTGATGGGGTCTGGGTGATTTGGGACCCAGTGCTTCAGGATTGGAGGGAAGGGATAATACATGGCTACTTGGATTGCAGGAGAGGGTGTGAGGAATTAACAGGGCGTGATGAATACCCTCAGCCTTGGCAAAGAGGGCTGGGAGGGTCTGCGACAGGATGATTGCAGATGTGGTCCTAATTACCCCCTTCCTCATTCATAGCACTTGCAATATCTCTATCAAGGCTGGGTGTCCATTTCTCCACCCCCTTTAATCTCAGCTGCCCTTGTGCCTTTTGTAATCCCTAGAGCACAGTAGAATGATCATGTGGGTGTCTGTGATCAGCCTTCCTATGAAATTAGAAATTAGTTTTATCCCAAATGCTTATTATTCCAGTTGTTAAATTACTTCACATCATGCTCCATGGCCTTATATAGTATTCAACAATCAAAGGGGGGCAACACTTTGCGTAGTATTAAATGCCAAATATTCTGACCCTGCAATAACTGAATGACAGCCAAAAGAATGTGTTTGTTGGGTTCTTTGCTGTCCTAACTGCCAAGTGAGCCCAGCTTGGGATATCGGGTTTTCGAGTGTCATTGTTGTATTACTATTGTTATTCTTCTCTGCGAGTCAAGTATATAATGTCATTTCCTCTGAAGGTATTATTTTTTGTTGTTTTGTTTTTGAAGTTTTTATTCTATTTCAGCAATAAAACATCGTGGCCACAAGGAAAAAATTTTTTTTCTAGTCTGGCTGGCAGTCAATGTGTTAAACAGCTACTACATGCTAGGTACTTTCACATACTTAAGTCCATTTAATTTTTGCAACAATAAGGTATATACCATGATTTTCCATTTTACAAATGAGAAAGCATGGAATTTTTAAAAAGAAAGAAAGAAAAGAAAACTCACTCAAGACCACATACCAAAGTAAATGACAACAAGATTCAAGTCCAGGACATCTAACCCCAAAACTCACTCTTTCCATTTCAAAAAAGTTACATTTGACCTATGATATATTGACATCCTTTATACAATGGAGGGATAAAAAAAGAATTACCACTCAATCTTGATTTCCTTTAAATATTCATTTTAGCAAATCAATAGTTCTCCAAATTTCCATCCTCTGACTTATACCTCATCATCACATTTTCACAAAACGAAAACCTACACTATCCCTTCATACATCAGAGAGCCAGTCAGCTGCAACTTGGAGAACTTAGGAAATAGGCCCAGGAGGGAAGGAGGCCTAGACCAAATTATTCAGATTTATCTCTGCCTCCCTCAGGAAATCGTTTCTTTCTATAAAGTTTTAGTTCCCACAAGAATTATTTCAGAGTTTATTTCACCAAATCTTAAGATTTCCAAAACCCCATCTTAAAAGACATGACATTTGTAAGTTCAGTGAAACAGGCATATATCAAAGAACATGAAACACACGTAGTCATCTTGAATTTTTTAGTGGTATAACAGAATACCCTACAATGATATAAAA